TTGAAAAATATTTCATGATGTACGATCGCCCTGTTTTTCATGCATTACTTGATTCCAACGTTTAGTACAAGTCTACGATTTTAATATCGCGAGTCTCCCAACTAGTGTCGTTAACATGATTATTAAAACTCGCTAATAAGGTGAACATCCTTACACGTCTGCCTCTCTTACATCTGTTATCTTTTCGCGTGTCGTGTACGCACGTGTTTATGTATAACCGTGTCCGAGTCTGTGTGCAAGGGGGCCACCTTCCTATCGTTAACGAATACCGTATTGTGCGTCTTCTAACGATTAACCATCACAATGACCAACGATGCCTAGTTTACAATTAATATCTTTGGTATCATATGCCTGAGTCTTCCGTTTACGAAAAAAATCACTAAACAATTATTTATAGAATCTCGTTTGGGTACGGCTACGAGCCGTCGTTTGTCGTATCAAACTTAGAAAAAGATTCGTCCTTCGCGCGACGCGAAACAAGCGATTAAAAATGTTACTTAGCTCCCGAGGGATAATTAAGTGTATCTGCGACAAGGAATGTCGGATTGATTATATGGCAGCTTCAAATCACGTGGAAAATGTTACCACGGGATATGAGATGTTCCTGTTATCGTTACTTGTTTCAAGCACAAAATATCGATTTTACCTTAAAGTCTACGCCGCGTGGCAGTTTGGATAATTTCCATATTTATTCATGTATTGTTTGACAATCAATGAAATACCTGTAAGTATGCTTATATCGTCGTTTACTTTTTCTTACGAATTCGTGCTGATTCACGAGGACTACTATTCGATTATGCTATTAATAGAGTAGTTAACAAGTCGCATTGTGATAAACTTTCGTTAATTCTCTAGTAAAGTGTAATGAAGAATAATTTGTGCTTGGAACGGTGATCATTTAAGTAATAATAAAAAGATTTGATCTAAATTTTTACAAGGAATATTTCTCATCCACGCCGATTATAAAAACTTGTAAGAAAAAAATAAACGAACTGAGACTCGCCCTTGGGGGATCTTTTCAGTCTTACCATTTGAGGAATAATTTTTCAACGAGCTCTCGGATGTATTCATAGAATTAACAAATTAAACGAGTTAACAATTAATTAAAAAAAAAAAGCGATAAGATAAAATCTATAAAAGTTTACAACCTGTAGTTCGTGTACTTGTGTGCGTGTCAAAGAGTTTAGGTTCGATTGTTCACGAAAATTCTATGATCGGTGAAAGACAATTTGCTGGAATGTAGTTTTTTTCGCGACGCCGTAGAATTGCGGGAGACAGAGATGTCAGAAATCAATAATGCGCGCCATTATGACGTACAAATGTACGCATAAAATGGATACAAAAAATTGTAGAAAAAATATTTATAAAGCGTAACGACGAATTCTAGTGAACAAAAGACCATGAGATTCCATCACCACGTGCGTCCGTCTCGTTTCAGATCCGTCGAGAGAGCCCGATGAGTGAAAAAAAGCCCTCCCCACGTTTCTTTCGCTCCTCCGATGCTCAGAGAGCATCTCATCATATAGAATATATCACATACATGTTTACTTCTCTAAACACACTGAAATAAGAAGCACTTTAAGATAGATGTCTACATACACCATCGGGCCCAGTTTAGATAGACTGATTCTCGTCTTCATTTTCCAATCCTCCTATCTTTTGTAACCCCTAACTTGATGTATATGCTTTTTTATATATGTATTATGTACATATAAGCGCTGTGCCTCTCACCTTTTCTCTTTCTCACTTTTTTCACTCTCTATTACGTATAAGTATGTGCAGGCGTCGAGAATGCGCGTCTCCGAAGCATACACAGAACTAGAACCGACATTCGCATACGAGAAACTAGAAAGTAATATCATTTTGAACGATTATTTATATATATATATATATATATAT